ATCTTCATGATCTCAGACTTGGTAATGGATTCTTGGATGACACCAAAAGCACAAATAGCAAAAGAAAAAATTAAACAAATCAGACTTTATCAAAAAAAAAAAACTTTTGTGACAACGGCAACTCAAAAGCTTAGATAGGAACCTTAGGGGGCAGTGAGTTTATGTCAATGGGGGAGGAACAACTCAGAAAAGGAAAGCGAGAATGGCTGCACAACTTGAAGAATGTAATCAATGTTACTGAATTGTACATGTAGAAATGGTTGAATTGGTATTGGTTTTGCTGTATATTCTCAACAACAAAATTCAAAAAAAATTATTTTTTTAAAAATAAAAAACTTCTGTGCTTCAAAGGACACTATGAAGAAAGTAAAAAGGCAACTCACAAAATAGGAGAAAATATTTAGAAATCACGTAACTGATAAGGGATTTGCATCTAGAATATATAAAGAATTATTACAACTCATCAATAAAAAGCCAAATAAGCCAAATAACAAATGAGCAAAGGATCTGAAAACGCATTTCTACAAAAATATACAAATGGCTAACAAGCACATGAAAAGATGCTCAACATCCTTAGTGATTAGGGAAATGCAAATCTAAACCAAAATGAATACTACTTCACACCCACTAAAATGACTGTAATCAAAAAAGTCAGATAATAACAAGTGTTAGGGAGGATGTGGAGAAACTGGAACCACATATGCTACAAGTGGGAATGTAAAATGGTGCAGCTGCGTTGGAAAAGAGTCTGGTAGTTCCTTAAACAGTTAAACACAGAGCTACCATACAGCCCAGCAACTCCACTTCTAAGTATATGCCCAAGAGAACTGAAAGCATGTTTACACAAAACTTCTACACAAGTGTTCACAGCAGCATTACTCATAATAGCCAAAAGGTGGAAATAATCCAAATGCCCATCAACACATGAATGGATAAACAAAACGTAGTACACCCACTCCTCACTTAACGTCATGGTCAGGTTTCAAAGATCAGGCTGTTACGAGAAAATTGGTGTTATGCGAAAACGGAGGATTTTTTTTTCTGTTTTCAGACCATCCATTTGTCTGATTTTTTTTATTTAGAAAATATGATCATAGAAATAATAACAGCTAAGATTTACTGATGTGCTTGCTCACCACTGTGACGAGTCAGTTATGGTTTATTCCTCTGCGGAGAAGGATGCTTGCAGAAGACAAAGCTGGATAAAGCCAGGCTGCGTGATTTGAGGGCCCATGGCTTGACCACGTCATCATCCTCCTGTGCTGGATCAGAGCTTCCCTCACTGAGCCGCCTCCAGGGCTCCACTCCCACCCCTACAAGCCCTGCATTCATGATCCCAGAGCCTGCTCTGTCCTCCAGGCCTGGTGAGTCTCCTGGCCCTGGGAGCCTGGCCATGTACCCGGCCCCACCAAGGTGGAGGCTTCAGGCCCAGTTCATCTTACTTTAGGATGTCATTAAACTTGCACACATTTCTTCCAAACACCCTCCCCGATGCCTCTTTCTTTCCTCCCTTCCCACTCCACAGCAATTTTGAGCTGCAGGGCTTTAGGCCGCATAGGTGCTGGGAACCCAGAACAGATAGATGCCTGCTGGCCAGGTACTGGCTGTGTGTCTACCCAGAGGCCATGGCCACAGAGGAGGCTGGTCCTGCACAGCAGCTGGATGTGGCATTCCTGCCGGCAGGAGGGAGCAGAGGGCACAGGGCAGCACAGTCCAGCTTCGAGGCCCAGTTCTCAAGTGAGGGGAAGCTCCACAGCTGTTGCCACCATGCTCGCCACATTGTTAATGTGCAAGAGTTGGACAGTAGATTTTTCACTATTGTCATAAACTCAAAATGTCGAATAATGAGATAGTCAATAAGTGAGAAGTAGGTGTATATCCATCCATACAACGTAATATAACACTGATACATGCTACAACATGGATGAACCTTGAAAACATTATGCTAAGTATAAGAAGTCAATCAAGAAGCCGCATATTGTATGATTCCATTTATATGAAATGTCCAGAACAGGCAAAACTATAGAGACAGAAAGTAGATTAGTGGTCATTTAGAGCTGCAGGACTTGGGGGAAGGAATGGAGTACAGGTTTCTTTTGGGGGTGATGAAATGTTCTCACATTGATTGTGGTGATAGTTTTATAGTCCTGTAAACATACTAAAAACCATCAAATTTTATACATTAAATAGGTAAATTGTATGGTATGTTAATTACATTTCAAAAAAGCTACTTAAAAAATTCTAAGGCACAAGTAGCTTGACACAGCTAATGACACTCACCTCTCTCTCTAACTCATCCTCCTCTTCCAAAAGATCATACACCTGCTCTAAAAGCTGAATCCCCAGGCCTTGGATTACATCAGCTCTCAAGACTTCAACTATTCTCCTGATCTTTTCAGAACCTGGCACAATAGCTAAAAAGCAATAACAGAGAAAAACATTCACACCACTGCAGCATGAAAAACACAAAGCTTTTTAAAAATCTTGCCACACTGATTTCTCTTCACTTTGAAAAAGGTTTGGTTTAATCACTTTACTTACATTTTAATCACTAAAAACTTACATATATGTAAATGAACTTAAGCTTCATGACTCTTAAGCCTACACACACACACACACACACACACACACACACAAATTGTTTAACTTGAAGAAAATCCACACAAGAAATTCCAAACATTTATTTATCTACATTACACCTATTTTTAAAAATAAGTTTTTATGCAACTTTTCAGAAATACATCACAAAATAACAAGCACCTATCACAGAAATACCTAGATGAAATTTAAAAAAATTTGCAAGCATTGGCTCCATGGTTTAACACATATCTCTAATAAACATATGCTTTCCAGTTTGCTACAAAAGAACAACCTGCTCACCTGAAGGCAGCTCTTTAAAATGGAGTTCCTCTGCCTCTTCTGCAATTTTCCCATGAAGTATCAGCGTGTCTCGATATTTCCGATGAAGTTTGAACTCTGATACTGGATTAGGTACTGGGAGTTCTTCATAGCTCTCTTTAGAGTCCAGTTTCAAGGTCTGAGTCATCAGTTGTACCAAGTCACTCATTTCATTTGTATGACCTTTACTGAAAAAAATAAAATAAAATCCCCTTGTTATTTAACTGGTTTCATGAGAATTTTTCATTAAAAAAATAGATGCAAAGCGACTTTCAGGGAGTTCTGCTTCTAAATGGTCAAGTGAGCCCTTACAGACCGACCATCCCACAAATAACAACTATAAATTCTGGACAAAATTAAAAAATCAACTTCCTGAAGGCACTGGAGAAAGAACAAAATCTGTTGGTAGATTCAGGGCAGTCAATACCTTTTACCCTGAGGGCAGGCCATGAGAAGGTAAAAGTACAATAGACAACCCACAGTCTA